CCCAGCCTTTCGGGGAAGGAATTGAGGGAAGAAGCAGTGAGGCACTAGGGAGGGGGCAGCCCCTCTCGATTCAGCAGGCAGGATGGCAGCACTCAGGACTGCCCCGTTCAGAAGAGTTGGGGGGGGGGTGGTAGGCTGTGTGCTGGGTTGGGAGGGACCTACTGTGGCCACCGGGAACCCCAGGAGCCTAGCAGGCATCAGGGGCCCAGTGGCCAGTAGAGCTAGATTCGCTGGCCGTAAAGAAGACCTGCTTAGGTCTCTTCCCTGAGTCTGGCCCCATCCCAGGGGCCATTCAGGTTCATGAGCCGCCCTTCTCCTAGGTCTATGAAACCCCCTTCTATGTGGCAGTGGACCATGACAAGAAGAAGGTGGTGATCAGTATCCGGGGAACCCTGTCCCCCAAGGTATGCTGCCTAGTGTTCCCAGCCCACCCCATGGGCCCGCTCACAGCCCCCGAGGGGCGCCCACCTCCCTTTCCTGTTCTCAGCCCCCCTCCTCACCATCCTCTCTCCCCACCAGGATGCCCTGACAGACCTGACTGGTGATGCCGAGCGCCTCCCCGTGGAGGGGCACCATGGCACCTGGCTAGGACACAAGGTACCCCTCCTCATGGGCCTCAGACGGCCCCTGGCTTTTCCTCCCCTGCCAGGATGCAGGCCAGTCCTGTTGTTGGGGTGGGGGATCCTCTGGGTTCCCTGGGCTCACCGGGAGAGATTGGTCAGAGAGGCATGGATTTGTCTGGAAGAGCCACTGCCCCCTACCTGCCAGAACCCCCACAGCCCTGCTCGGCCCAGATCTTGTCCCACCAAGAGTTTGAGGAAGCAACTGGGAAGAGCTCTCACTGGTTTCTATTAGACACATAATCTTTCTGAGCCTCAGTTTTCTCATCTGTGAAATGAAGATGATATGATAAAGTGTCTACCGACCCCCACAGCCAGGTGGTTCTGAGAACCAATGTGGGAAATGAGCAGGGCAGGATTGGTGAGCTTCGTGTCACCATGGTTTTGCTGGTCCCTGAGAGGCCCCACCCTCGCTCCCTGTGATACCCGTCTCTGTTCCTCCCCACCCAGGGAATGGTCCTCTCGGCTGAGTACATCAAGAAGAAGCTGGAACAGGAAATGGTCCTATCTCAGGCCTTCGGGCGAGACCTGGTAAAGCATGTTCCGTGCCATAAGCCCTCGCCCAGCCCAGCTCTCGCTCCCCCAGGGCAGCAGACTGGGGACAGGACTGGTGATGATGGAGCCGCTACACTCTCCTGCGATCCCTGGCTCCCAGCCCCCTCCTCACTTGCCCAGTCCCTCCCATCCCCTCTGACCCTTTCTTCTCTTGTACCAGCTCTTCTTGGACACCTCTGCTCCACCCCACCCAGCTATGAGCACCCACTCTGTGCCAGGCACCGGGAGCACAAAGATGGCTTGGGCCAGGGGCTTCCAAAATGTAGAGCTGAATGAACAAAGAGGATGATAGCAGAGCAGATAGAAGGGGTGCTGCTCTGGTTGGGGGTGATCTGGGCCCTGCCCACTGTACACTCCTCCCTGGGCCAGCAGGCAGCTCCTGAGGTGCTGCCAAATGCCCTTCCCAAAGCCAAGCAGTTCCTGGCTTCAGGAGACCCCAGTCTAGTTGGGGAACAGGAATGAGAGCAGGTGACCAAATGATTGTAATAGAGTGTAATCACTATATATAAAGGTCTATCCCAGGGGGGTGGGTATAGCTCAGTGGTAGTGCACCTAGCATGTGCGAGGTCCTGGGTTCAGTCTCCAGTACCTCCATTAAAAAAAAAGGGGGGGGGAGAAAAAGAAAAAAGGTCTATCCCAGGTACAGATGCGGTATCTAGGAGGAAGCGAGCCTCTCCTGAAAAATCAGGAAGGCTTCTCCAAGGAGGTAACCTCTGAGTAGCGTTTTGAAGGATGAGTAAGAGTTTGTTAGTCTCCCCAAGAAGTTGCTCTGTGGGGACCTAGTTTGGCTCTTCCTCTGCCCCAGCAGCCACACAGCATAGACATGATCCCAGGACTCTGGGGGAGACCCCTCTGCCTCCCTGGTATCAGCTGAGACAGTCAGCTTGGCAGGCAGTGGGGCAGGGCTCTCAGGGCTTCTCTCGGTCCCCAGGGCCGTGGAACGAAACACTATGGCCTGATTGTGGTGGGCCACTCCCTGGGTGCAGGCACCGCTGCCATCCTCTCCTTCCTCCTGCGCCCCCAGTACCCGACCCTCAAGTGCTTTGCCTACTCCCCACCAGGGGGCCTGCTGAGGTGAGCAGTCTGGGGCCTCAGAGTTGCCTGGGGTGGGTGGGGGCTAAGGGCTGGACAGGGCTGGGAGCTGGCTGGGGCTGGGGCTGGACCGGGCAGTCTGGCTTCCTGGCACGTGAAGGGGGGCTCTGTCAGATGCCAAGCAGCCCCTGGGATCTAGCCCCAGCAAAGCCTTTCTGATAGGAAAGGCGGGGCAGGGAGCAGGCAGCCCAGGGTCCCCTCAGGAACACCGCAGCCCCTCCCCTACCTTCGCGTCCCTTTGGCTTCCCTTGCAGTGAGGACGCCATGGAGTACTCCAAGGAGTTTGTGACGGCTGTGGTTCTGGGCAAAGACCTTGTCCCCAGGCAAGTCACCCCCGCCACTGTCCTGGACTGGGCTGCCCCTCCCGCCACAGGGCCTCACCCTGGTGCCCCGTCTCTCCACTCAGATTCCCACCTCCTCGAGGGACCCCAGAGTGCCCCCCTCAGGTGTCCAGGGTGAGAGGACAAGGTGGACCCACCCTGCCTGGCCTCCTCTTCCTGGCTGGGCCCTGCCGGGTGGCAGACTCTCCTCCACCCACCCCGTGCCCCTGATGGTCTGGTCTCCTTGTTCCTGGTGGCCCTGCTGCCCCCTCCCCCAGCCCCTCTCCCGGTCCCTGGCCAGCCCAGGCTGACACCCGCCTTGCTCCTTCCCCCAGGATCGGCCTCTCCCAGCTGGAAGGCTTCCGCAGACAGCTTCTGGACGTCCTGCAGCGAAGCACCAAACCCAAAGTGAGTTCACTCCCCTCCCTCCTGCCCGGGTGCGCCTGGGGCATGGGCTCCCCATCTGTCTTGTGCCCTGCCTGTCCCTTGGTGCAAAGCACACGAGGCCCCCGCCATGTGAGGCCATGCTGGGTTGTGGGTGGTGTCACAGGCACCTCAGGCCACCAGACCCTCAGCATCCCCAAGCTCATCCCGTCTGCGCCTTGCCTGTCCTTGTCCAGATAGGGAAACTGAGGCCCTGGGTGGGCAAGGGACTTTCTTTTGTTCACACAGCAAGTTGGAACGGAGTCAGGACTGGAACCGAGGGCTCCCGAGTCCTGGCTCTTGTCACACAGAGCTGCCTACAGTCAGATCAGAGCAGGCCCCAAGGCTCAGTGCTCCGAGTGTGACAGCAAGGCCTCCTCCAAAGCCCGCGGTGATTCCCTAGACTCGGGAGGCTGGATGCTGCCTGTGGAGGGGATCTGAGGGCAGTTTGTTCTGGTTTTTCCTGCAGCTGGGAGGAGAGACCCAGCCCTTTGTAATCCCTCATCAGGCCTGCAGAGGACACCAGGTTGGGAGGGGGCCTCTTCCTGTAGCAAACTAGCCCTCAGTGTGCCAGGCGGGAGGTGGGCGTGCTGTGGCCAGGCACTGTGAGACAGGCAGGAGGTGGCCAACCTGGACCAGTGGGGCCTCTGTGCCCTACTCACCGTGTCAGCCCAGTTGGGCCTTGGTGCCTGTAACCCTCTGGCAAGCAGGGCCCTGGGCCAGGTACCAGGTGCCAGGGGTGGGCAGTCAGTAGAGCCTTATGGGACCACGTCTGTCTGGAGGAGCCTTGTTCCAGCTTTAGGACTGCTCCCCTTGGGCCCAGTCCTGGGCACTTGCCAGGCCCAGGAGGAGGTGGCAGGGAACCAATTCAGACGTGGCTGGGCCTGGTAGGTGCAGCTGGACTGAGATTTGGGGTCTGTTCTGCCTCTGACTTATGAAATGACCTAGAGCCAGTCCTCTCCCTTCTCTGCGCCTCTTTCCCCTCTACTGTTAAGGGGTTGACCCGTCTTCCAGCCCTGAAGTTCAACCATTCCACGTCATCCGTCCTAGGCCCCTGTTTGGCAACTGTGGCCGAGGTACCCCTCCACCCTGGCCTCTTCACTGGGCTCTGCCTTTCACTCTGCCCTGTGGCCATCCCAGCTCCCCTATTACCTGTGAGCCCTCCTGGGCACCCCCGGCCCCTGCCCACCCGGCCCACGCTGCTCAGCTCCGTCCCCCTCTTTCCCCTGCCCCAACAGTGGCGAATCATTGTGGGGGCCACCAAATGCATTCCCAAGTCGGAGCTGCCCGAGGAGGTGGAAGTGACCACCCTGGCCAGCACGCGGCTCTGGACCCACCCCAGTGACCTGACCATTGCCCTGTCAGCCAGCACCCCTCTCTACCCTCCTGGCCGCATCATCCACGTTGTCCACAACCACCCAGCAGAGCAGTGCTGGTAGGTGTCACCCGCAGCCGTGGTCAGCTGGGAGGTGGCAGCAGCCAGGGCAGGGGGTGTGTTCTCCAGGGAAGTGGGGGATGGGGCTGGGAGTGGAGACTGAGAGACTATGGCTCAGGGCCCCCAAGGTGGGGTTGCCCTAGCCTTGGGCCCTGGAAATGAACAGGCCAGCCGAGAGCAGGACTCTAGGCTCCTCTCTTGATAGTCCCTTCCCACTTGCAGTCTATTTAAAAGCAGATCACCCTAGAGGGTCACCCTAAGGCCCTGGCCAGCTCACATCTCAGTTGTCACTTGGCATCACTGCTGGGATCAGTTGACAGCTGGTGGGGGCAGGAGAGAGAAATGGAGAGGGCGGGTACAGAGACTTCTCCCCGCTGCTGCTTTCAAAGGGTCGGGCTGCCTCCCCAGACAAAAGGCTTGTGAGCTGGGACTCTGCCTGGGGTGGAGCAGGTGTGGCCCAGGCCACCAGCAGGTAGAAGGCTGTGTCGGTATCAGGGCTGAGCTTCAAGGGCAGCCTTTCTAGCTCTCTGTGATGTAAACGTTCCCGGCTGGGGTGAGGCAGAAGCAGGGAACCCAGGGACATTGGCCTGGCCTGCTTAGCAAGGGCAGAGAGCAGAGCCAGGGGCCTGAGGGCTGAGGCCAGGCTGCCACCTATCCCCCGCTCCCCCTTGGCCCCTGTGCCCCTCAGCTGCTGTGAACAGGAGGAGCCCACGTACTTTGCCATCTGGGGCGACAACAAGGCCTTCAACGAGGTGATCATCTCGCCGGCCATGCTGCACGAGCACCTCCCCTACGTGGTCATGGAGGGGCTCAACAAGGTGAGCGTTGTGTCCCAGCCGCTCTGTCCACACTGCCTCATGGGCCCGGGTGGGGAGGAGCTAGGAGACTCCCATGCACCTGTCCCTCAGTCCTGAAGGCTCCCTTGGCACTTGGCAGATGCACAGCCAAGCAGAGGCAGCCTTGGCCATCACCCGGCCATGGAAAGGCTGGCCACCGGGAAGGAAAGCTCCAACCTTGCCCATCTGTGGGGTAAGGCACGACTGCAGGGCCCATCCCCGACCTTCCTGGAGGAGCAGGGGCCTGTAGGGGGGAGGAGAGTTGGGCCCAGCTCACCCCATGAAGCTCTGCTGGGCCTGAGAGGCCTGGCCTGCCACCCTGCCCCTACACGTGATTGTCACCCCTCCACCACCACCACCAGCTGCCCTGTCCTGTCCCCAGGTGCTGGAGAACTACAACAAGGGGAAGACGGCCCTGCTCTCTGCCGCGAAGGTCATGGTGAGCCCCACTGAGGTAGACCTGACTCCGGAGCTCATCTTCCAGCAGCAGCCGCTGCCCACGGGGCCACCCGTGCCTGCTGGCCTGGCCCTGGAGCTGCCCACCGCAGACCACCGAAACAGCAGCGTCAGGTGAGCCCTGCCCACCCCAGCCCCGCCCCAGGGAGCGCAAGCAGGGCCATGAGTGTGGTTTCACGGCACGAATGCTTGTGTGCGTGTGCATTCTGTATACACACTGGGCATGTTCACGCAGCTCTGCATGCACACACACACACACAGAGGAGGGATTGAACTTGCCCCCCTGCTTGGGGTCTCTTCCACTCTGCCCCCACTGCCCCCAGGTTGCCACCATGGAAGCCCACGTGAGCTAGGGGCCATGTAGGGATGAACAGACTCCCAGCCACAAACACGTAGATTCACTCATAGCCATTTAGACCCGCACAGATGGACACAGGTGCACTTACACACATGCACACATACGTATTGAAGCTTGTGCTTGTGTATACGTGTTCACAGACAGTAGCTCTGAGTGCACAGAGCCCCCTGCAGACAGACTCACGGATAGGACGTACACCAAGACAGAGGCCAAGGCACTTAGACACAAGGACACGCTTGGACCAGCAGCCCATGATGGGTGTGCCTGTGCTCAGACCCAGGCACCCAGACCCATATGTCCGCTGGCCGGCTGACACATGCACATTGCACACAGAAACACAAAGGTGTGCGCACGCTCCCAGGTGCACACACACCCCACATTTGCATGTGTGCTCTTGGGGATCAGACTCTGAGGTGGTGGCTCCTGGGGTGGGTGGGGATCCTCCCACCTCTTTGGGACCCTTCCCACCCAGGTCCTGAGTCTTGGTTACAGATCTGACCAACAGGCTGCTGAGAAGGGTGGCCAATGCTTCCTGGCCCTTGGTGGGGCACCCAGACCTCTCTCCCTATCTTACGTGCATTTCCTGTGACCAGGTGGGGGAGCCAGTGTCCGTTCGCTGCCGTGTACTGCCGCGTCCCTCCCTCCTCCACTCCCGTCCTTCATTCACTCCCTGCAGGCTGGTGTGCGGAACCCAGGGGCTCCAGGGCTCCCTGTCCAGCAGAGGGCTACACCCCATGGGAGAGGCAGGGCCGCTCTCTCTTCCTCCCTCTCAGTCTCTCTGGGCCTCAGTCTCCTGTAGGTGCAGTGACAGGGCACCCGTGCAAGGCCCCCATCCTAGCCCAACCCAGCATCCACCCTCTTGTCTTCTACCTTAGGTTCTTGTGAGCTGGTTTTTTTTTTTTTAATAAGGGTTCCCTGCCCCTAATCCAGTCAACAACCTTCCCCTCCTCGCCATCCCCAAGCTCCCTCTGGCCAGGGATCTGGGAGTGGGTCTTCCTGCCCCTCTGAGTCTCACCCCTCTCTGCCCACCCCCCCATAGGAGCAAGTCCCAGTCGGAGATGAGCCTGGAGGGCTTCTCGGAGGGGCGGCTGCTGTCACCAGTGGCTGCAGCCTCGGCAGCCCGCCAGGACCCAGTGGAGCTGCTGCTGCTGTCCACACAGGAGCGGCTGGCAGCTGAGCTGCAGGCGCGGAGGGCGCCGCTGGCCACCATGGAGAGCCTCTCGGACACGGAGTCGCTGTACAGCTTCGACTCGCGCCGCTCCTCTGGCTTCCGCAGCATCCGTGGCTCGCCCAGCCTCCACGCCGTGTTGGAGCGTGACGAGGGCCACCTCTTCTACATCGACCCCGCCATCCCCGAGGAGAACCCGTCCCTGAGCTCGCGCACTGAGCTGCTGGCGGCCGACAGCCTGTCCAAGCACTCGCAGGACACACAGCCCCTGGAGGCCGCCCTGGGCAGCGGGGGCGTCACCCCTGAGCGACCCCCCAGCGCTGCAGCCAACGAGGAGTTGGAAGAAGGGGGTGGCGGGGCGGCCCCCCGCAGCGGAGAGCTGGCGCTGCATGATGGGCGCCTGGGGGACTCGCCCAGCCCTCAGGTGCTGGAGTTCGCCGAGTTCATCGACAGCCTCTTCAACCTGGACAGCAAGAGCAGCTCCTTCCAGGACCTCTACTGCATGGTGGTGCCCGAGAGCCCCACTAGCGACTATGCTGAGGGCCCCAAGACCCCCAGCCAGCAAGAGATCCTGCTCCGCGCCCAGTTTGAGCCCAACTTGGTGCCCAAGCCCCCGAGGCTCTTTGCCGGCTCGGCCGACCCCTCATCGGGCATCTCGCTGTCACCCTCCTTCCCTCTCAGCTCCTCAGGCGAGCTCATGGACCTGACACCCACGGGCCTCAGCAGCCAGGAGTGCCTGGCAGTGGACAAGATCCGGACTTCTACCCCCACCGGCCACGGGGCCAGCCCCACCAAGCAGGATGACCTGGTCATCTCGGCACGCTAGCACCCCAGGGGCGGCTGCCAGCTGAGGCCCAGGCCAGAGCTCCTCGGGCTCCTGGTGGCCGTCCCTGGGCTGGGCATCTTTGAGGAAAGGTCTCTGGGGCCAGCATAGCCTCAGGCGTTGGGCACTGCTGCTGAGCTGGAGGTCCGCATCCCTACCTCAGCTTAGGAGCCCCCCAGAGCCAAGGCAGCTGGGATCTGGGCCTCCAGATAGGGAATGACGGGGAGGAGCGTGGAGCAAGGAGGAGCCTGGGGCCCACCTACCACGTGGGCAGGGCAATACTCCGCCCTCTCAGCCTGACTGCCCCCCACAGGGGCACCCTGGCACCCCCTGTGCCGAGCCAGGCCATGAATATGCTGACTCCCCCCATCACTGCCCTCTGGCTGTTCCCTTGGGCTGACATGGAAAGCAGCAGCCCCCTCCCCACGTGTTCTCGTCTGTGGTCCAGGCTGGCATCTGCCCAGGCCACCCCAAAATCTGGTGCCTGCTGACCAGTCTCCTGGGGTGACCCCTCCACCAAGGTGGCCCGCAGTGCTGTGTATGTTTACAGAAGCTGCTGGGCTGGGCTCAGGATGTGTCCTGAGCTTGCAAGCCCCCCTATCCTGCAATCATGTGTTCAGTAGCCCCCCTCTGAGCAGGTAGGGGTCACCCTCCATGGAGCCCAAGGCAGTCATGGGGCCTGCAGGGGCCCGCAGGAGGGTAGGGTCAGGACCCCCCCTTCTCTGCTTTATGTCCCTCGTGCTGACACCTGTCGACGGGCCCTGGGTACCCAGGCCTGCCCCGCCAGCCCATTACTTTCCAGCCTGCCTTCTACCCCCAGGGATCCTGGCCACTCAAAAGGTGGAGGGCACAGATGTGACCACCCCTGGCTGCAAAGTCAGTGCCCTGGGAGGAAGGAGGGCCCCACCAAACCCCTTTTTGTCACCTCCCCCCAGGCCTCGGCACCCCAAGCCCTGGGGTCTGGGACCACACATGCCTCCACTGCCCTCAGCTCCCGTCCTCACCTGGCCCGGGCTCTCCTGAGAGCGGGGCTTTCTTCTCTCCTACCCCCAATGTCCTGTTGGCAGGAAGTGGGGCCAAGAATGGGGTACGGGGGGACCTGACTGGAGGAGCCAGGAGGGCCAGGGGCCCTGGAGCCATCCTGGCTTAGCCTGAGGCCTCCTCAGCCCTGACTTGAGGGGTTCCTTCCCTTCTGGGTTGGGAAAGCAGTCGGGAGGTGGAGACCCTGCCAGCCCCCAGAGGCAGAGCGGGGAGGTGGTGCATGCTGGCGCGGGATGTGTGTGTGCATGTGCATGAGCGAGCGCCGTTCCTAAGGAAGGGGCTGCTGGAGCGCCCTCCCCACCCTCCCCGCCCTGCCTGCCTGCTGCCCCTCTGAGCTGGCCAGGAAACAGGCGCCAAATGTGATGGGCGCCGGGGCAGCTGGGGTTACAGGACAAGCCCGGCTTCAGACCCAACCTGTTCCCCTTGTCTTGCCTGCTGCTCCGACCCCTAGTTTGGAAAACTGGTGTGTGCTGAGGCGTTGACCGCCTGCCCGCTTGTGCCTTCGTCTCCTCGGAGGCATGGTCCCCCGACTCTGGACCGGCCCATGGCCTCCCTGGGTCGGCTAGGTTTCCCTGACCAAGACTCCCATCTCATGATCACCCTGAGAGATGGGACAAAGACCTGGGAGCTAGGCCTCCCTCACCCTCATGACTCCCATCCCTCATCAGGGTCCATCAGGCTCCTGCCCTTGCTGAGGGTCCCACACAGCAGCAAAATGAAATCAGTAGCTCTTAGAGCTTAAAAAAAAAAAGACAAATCATAAATCAGAGTAAATTTCCAACAATCACCCCAGCCGATAGCAGGGAGACTTGGGGTCTGGCCTTTTAATTCCTCCTCTGCTAGGGTGGCCCTGGGGCCTCTGATGGGGCGTGGTGCCCACCCATGCCCAGGACTGAGCCATCAGGGACAGACTCCCCACCCCCAAGGCTGCAGCCGCACAGGGTTACAGGCTTGGGGCCGGGGCAGGCTCAGACTCAGCCCTGGGTGCCCTGGGTCAGCCCACACCTCACCCACCCTCCCCACCTTGCCCCTGGAGGATGGGCCTGCCGCAGGTCTCCCCCTTCCTCCGCACACCACACATGGGGAGTCTGAGCCACCCTCCTCAGCCCAGCTCGGCTCAGACTGACCCCTACTCTGTCCCCCAGACCCGCAGCACAAGGTCTCCTGCCATACACTGGCCTGTCCTCCCCGGGGTCTGGGTGACCTCCATATGCAATCGGTAGTGAGCAGCTGGGCCCCACAGACACTCAAGCACTGTACGTGCCATTCTCCCATGACTTTTTTTGTACTTAATGTATGAAAGATCCAAACTAATATTGCTGTAAAAAGGAGAGACAAATTAATATAGCTTATTCTATAAATATATCTGTATATAAAGGTTTCTGTATATTGTATAGAGCTGTGTATAAACTGGATGTAGAAGCACGCTGGCCGCCTTGAGTGACCTCTCTTCCCAGCAGGTGGGGTGGGGGCGGTTGGCCGGGAGGGGACCTCTGAGGTTGGCTCTCACTGCTGTTGATGCCCTGGTCCAGGACCACACTTGGAGTCACAGTGAGAGACCAGAAGACCCTCAAAGCCCCATTTGAATGGGGTCAGTTCCCTGCCCGTGTGAGATGTGCCCGGGGACCCATATGACCTCATTAGGGCCTTGAAAGATGGACCTCCTTAGCCCCTTCTCTCTGAGGGGTCTGGGGCTCAGGGAAGGTTAGTAAGCTCCCAGGACCACAGAGCTAGCCATGAGGTACCAGGCTGGTCTGACAGTGCCCGCCTCCTCCCCAAGTGCTGAGAGCTAGGGAGGGGGGAGAGCACTAAAACTCCCCAGCTGGGTAGCACGGAAATGCAAGGGCCATGGGAAGTCTTTGCTGAGGGCTTCCGTAGAAGGGTGCAAAGGACCCAGTCAGGCTCGGGACACCCCAGGGACCCCAGCCCAGCCTGGCCCCAGGACAGCGAGGCCAGGGGAAAGGCTGTAGAGCTAGGGTGGGCGGGCAGCCTCACCTCCCGCCAGCCCCATGCCCAGGCCTGGCCCATCCGCACAGCAGGTGGCGCTGTTCCTCCAGCCAGTCCCAACGGGACCTGCCGAGTACAGCCCAGGCAATGACCCAGCCAAGCTTTGACCAGACCTTGACCTTCCCCAGCTCATACTGCCCACCTTCCCCGCCCTGAGTCCAGAGTGACCCTATCTGCTGAGGGGTTGGAAAGATGATAGAACAGTGCTGTCTTCACCCAGGCCTCCTTTTGTTGTTGTTATTGTTGTTGCAAATTTACATGGTTTTATATACTGTCACTGAAGGGTAAATTAACACAGAAAGGAATCTGTGACTGGCAGCACACTAACAGCCTAAACTTTGCTAAAGACACCCAGGCCTCTCCAAACAGAAGAAACTGAGGTTCATAAGGGTGGAAACCTGCTTGAGGTCACGCAGGCCTGGGGACAGGTCTAGGACCAGAACCAGGCCTCCCATCCCAGGACTCTGGCCTCCACCCTCGCCTAATGGTTTTCAGAGGTTCTTCACACCCTGTAGTCTCATTTGGTTTGCAAATTATCCCATCCAATGAGGGAGCAGAAGCAGAAGCAGCTGCGGGCCCGAGAGTTTCTGTGACTTGCCTAAGGTCACACAGCATGGAATGCGGAGGACCTCTCAATGAGGAGCAATGCTGGGAAGGGTCAGAGCAGTGCTCTGCCTCCCAGGCCCCACTTGGACCCTCAGATGGCCCTTCCATCTCAGCCGGGAGGGAGGTGGGAGAGAGGTTACTCTGCAGGGCCCCAGCCTCACTTACTCCCTGGGTTCACATTCACCACCTGCTGGGCCTTCCTCTCTTCCTCTGCAAAATGGGCAGATGCCAGTATGGTGTTGGCCCACGGGAGACCCAGAGCCCTGCGGTAGGGAGGGTTCTGCCCACAGAACCCCACCCTCTCCTGGGCTAGCCTCCAGCCCGTTACTCATTAACCCTCATGCCCCAGCCTCCCTTTCCCCAGGGCTGCCTTCTAAGCTGCCGGCTCCTCCTGGCCCTACCACCATCCAAGGGCCAGCACTGGGCACGGGGAACTGACCTGGAATCAGAGAAAGCACCATTTATCTGTCACTTTCCTGGCACTTTACTTGCACGGTGAGATGGGAATAACAGGCTGATGTAGAGATGAGGCATGGATCAGAGGACAGGCCTTTGGAGAACAGCTGAGCCAGCCACAGGGACAGCCATGTCTGCTGGGCCAGGGCTGAAATCTTGGTCCCTCACTCTTTTTGACTCGGTTGGGCAGGGGTACCGATGGGAACTCCTCTCCATGGATGGGCTCTTCCAGGTCCTGGTTATGCAAGGCTTCCTGGGGCTCCCTCACCAGCCTTAGCCTCCTTCATTATGGAGCTGGGCCAGACAGGGCAGGGGTCGGGGGCAGCTGGGACTCTAAGCCGAGTCCTAGAGTCTGGGACCTTTCAACCACCCTTCTCCCCCAGCCCAGAGATGAAAACCCCTGGGGACAGTTGCTTCTTTGCTCAGTGGCCTAGTGGAGTCAGGAGAGATGGTAAGGACAGAACCCCCTGAGCGAGGCCAGCTCCCACAGGATTAAGAGGAGGCTCCATCCCATCCCAGCCAACTTCAAGGTTAATGCAGAGACTCAATCATCCAGCCAGAGGAGTTGTGTGTTGGGGACAAAATATGCATATCCCACCTAACCTTTGACGACCAAGGGACATGCTTAGCTCACCTGGATGGCTTTCCAACTGTGGACTTTTTGGCACTACAGGGGATATGGCGGAAAGACCTGGGGGTGGAGGAGGCTTATAAAGAAGCTGATTTTCCAGCTGGTCCTGGGCCACTCCTAAAATCAATTCATTTTTAAAAATCATACGACATAGGCGGGCGTCTACTTTGTCCGCAGGCAGGCCTGGCCCGGGTTGGGGAGGGGGCAGAGCAGAGAATAACAATTGTCTTAAGGGAGGCTGCAGAGGGAGCAAAACCTCTGGGGTGTATCAGCTGGAAAAGAATAGGCATCTCAGTGTGGCCCTCTCCCCCCTCTCAGCCCGGCCCCTGCGGGGGGAGCACTGGTCAGCACACACAGCTGGGGCCTCCAGCAAAATCTCATTCTATATATCTAAGAGCAACAGCTCGGAGAGCGGCCCCCGGAGGGACAAAACCTCATTGTGAGACACCCGCCGGCTTGGGCACCCCCTCCCCCAGCCCCAGAACTGTCGTGGCATTGACCCTCCTCGGCGGGCCACCACGGGCCTGCTGACTGGGCCACATCTGGGGCTTAG